TACGATTCCATTGTTCTTCAAGGCGTAGTAAATGAAAACTATAAATTCATTTTCATTGACATCCGTGTCCATGGAGGGAAAATCGAAGGTGGAATATTTTCAAATTGCACGACATTTCAGAATCTCAAGAAAAAACTATCATTCATCTCGAAAGTGTCATGCGGAAACTGAATTATAGCTCCCGCATGCTCTATTGTGTGACGAGGCATGCCCACTGAAGGAGTACATGTTGTAGGCGAGAGAGGAGTGTTGAAGAAGCTATATTGAACTACAGATTATCCAGACCATGCAGAACTGTGTAACGCGCCTCAGAAATATCTACAAAAGAGATTCCCCATAAAAAAATATGTTCAGCCACACAATACAGTAAGTATTATAAAATGTCTATGGCTTCTTCATATTATTGTGATATATATGGAATATCCACTCCAAGAACTTTCAAGCGAAACTGGCATTTCATTAGAACGCAGTAGACAACACAATAATATTATCCAAGCAGCAAACTAGAGCCTCATTCAAACAATATTTCTGATCTCGCGTTGGATTGACAACAATCTTCAGATTGTTCAGTCTCCACCTTATCGTGGTGAGGGTGTTTGAGTATGCCAAGGACCCTGAGAGCTATACCAGCGGTAGCGTAACTACTGGCAGGGTCTCCCTTGCTGGACAGGTCAAAGGGTAGGCATCAGACGAAGAGAGACACCGAAAACTGATGCCGGAAGCAGCGTCATCAGCGGCGACTTGAAGCACAGAGAAAATGATGCTCGAGATGGTTCAAGTTCGTATAGCAACAGGCGTGACCAGAGTGGTTTGAACGGCTGTTGTACTGCGATGTGGAAAGCAAATGGAAAAACTACCACATTATCACTATTCCTGGATAGTCTCTTTCCAAAAACAGAAGATCGCATTAAGTGGAGAAACTGTTTTGGAAGAGGCTGTGGACCTGTCATCTGACAGATTACTGATGAATGAATGAATATAATGTAATAAGCGATTCGCTACATGTCTGAAAATGTGGATAAATATTTTGTATTTCCTTGTGAGACTGTTTTGTATCGTCGTGTAAATGTAGCGACAAAATGTACGTTACAAATGTTACTCACCCGTCACATACAGCTCCTGTCCCATTTCAACCCACATTCTTAAACATCTCTGTTTTGGTACAAGTTACTACTGAAATTCTACACTGATACTCCGTCTTTGAGTTCACTAATGTTTCCATTTCACTGTAAATATATGAATGGGCGACTATATGACACGACCAAACACCAAACAAATTCGATTTCGTCCAATTACTCTGAAGTGTGGTGAAACTTTGCATGAACAAGTCGGATTTGCTGTAACCGTACATGCAAGTTTCAAACAGTTTGTTTGCTTGTGCCACTATAACGGACTACACACAAAACAATAATTTAACAGCATACATTGGGCCACTTGCAGTCACCGTTAGTGTATCGAGATATAGTCGATATCCGGAACTGATTGGTGGGAAGGAAGGAACAAGTGACTCGACGCCACCGAAGATAGAATGTTACGGGTGATGACATCTTACGGGAAAGGCGGACGAGGTGGCGAGACCAGAGAGCCAATAATGGAGAGAACGGTTCATATTGTGGCATCTGTTCTGGGATTCTGACAGCTGATCCTGCCAGTATATTCTTTGGAGTTTTTCCCTTACTGTTCTGTACAGTGGGATAGTTTTGGAACTTGCAGTTTTTTTTTCCATTTTTTTTTGTGGGGTCCGAAAGGATACAACCCGCTATCATTCTCGTGGAACACATTGTCACGATTTAAGAGTGTGTGACTCTAGACGGGGTATGGATTGTTGAATGGATTTGACCAATACACACCATTCGGAACTACGGGCGTTACAGCGCCACTGTTAATCTCCACAATTCACAACTCACCATAGCACCAGCTAAGATTTTTCCAGCCTGCTATGTCATCGGCCGTTCCCTAGCAACGGCTTCTAACAGTGGAGATTCTTCAGCTTTCCGCGCTCAGTCCTATCTTCATAGCCTCCCGTGCAGAACTGCCTATCAACTGACAACTATTCTCTTCACAGCCGAACTCTTGCAAATAACTGGGTCGCCCCAACTGTATTTCTTGTAACCCCTTTGCACCGACCGAGTATGAAACACCGTTTCCAACAGTAACTAGATATTTTTGTAGAGGCATGTTTACCGCACCGATGCATAGTAATGGCTGTTATCTCGTTTCGAGGCCTTTTCCTACCAACGGGTCCATATGCCACAATTCACCATTACGCCTCCATGGAGTAACCATAGTCTACATTCATGTTTCGTTGACAAAACCTTGTACACGATATCACAAAATCTGTTTCGAGAGATGACAGACCCTACACACAAACGATTATTTTGTGTGTGTAGTATGTCTGAAAGGCAAGTACAGTAAACAAAAAAGGTACATTTGTTCTGACTCCGCAGTCTTCCACTTCACCCTTGCACCCCCAGCCATAACCGTCGAGCTAGAACATGCATTTCCAGATTCTTTGGTATCTCGTTCGATTCGGTGCAGTACATATGAGGGGAGGAAGTTAGATGCAAATCAGTACTCCCAGTAATAGGATGGAGATAGAGCGTTCTTCTACAGAAGCTGAGCTCATGTCAGATCTCATCATCCATTCACACACTTGGCAGTGAGTCTGTCAGCCTGACATGTTGGCCACCCTTTACCACAGGAAGATTCCTGGTACTCATTTCTGTTAGAGGCTGAGTCGATCCCAGGTCCATAGTGCGGCTGGAAGGATTAGGTAAACTGAAAAATCCAATGATCTCATCAGGAATCGAACCCGCGACCTTCGGGCTTGTAGCATAGTATTTCAACCAACTATGCTAGCGTGTTGTAATATAAACAATTTTATTTATATCATTATTGAGTGTCTTCCATTGCAATTTCGATTTTCTCTGATCATGTTTTCAGAAATCTCTCTCTGTATACATATGCTCAGTTATATTTTACAAAACGCTCAATGGCAGCTTAAATACTCTTATGTGTACTCTTGAAGGTTCACCAACGATCTGAATTTTATTCCCAAATTAGAATGCATCTTCTTCTTAGAATAGTTACAGGATATGTTACGTAACCTGTATACACATTCACAAACCATAACAGAGACTCAATTTCTCGCTGCTTCTGTATTAAAATTTCATTATCTAATACAGAGAATATTAATAAAACTATTAACCCCTTTGTGGAGATGGAGGAATCTTATTAATATAGTCATGTCTTGGTTTCAATAACTCAAAGTATTATATTTCGGCATCCTGTTGCATTAGAGTAGCGCTAGTTTCCCCTTAACGCCTATAATGTAACACTTTTTACTTCAGATGACACCAAACTTACATTCAAATCACTAAAATTTCAGGTAAAATGTTCTTAAAATGTAATTAAAATATATTCTATGTCTGGCTACAAGTTTCAGCCGCACAGGGCCACCTTCAGGCAACACATTTTGATGGAACCGACTGCAGTCAGTAGCATTAGTTGTTCAATTTTGGTGTTCTGAGAATGTCCATCCTTTTACTGTCTTCATATCGAATATTTAATCCCCAAAGTTAGAACGTCCAATCTATCTCCAAGCTCCTCAGAGGTCACATCCATGCATTTGAGAATGTTTAGAAAAAACATTCTCAAATGCATGGATGTGACCTCTGCATGCTCCAAAGCCTATTCCAAAAAATAAATTCAGTGAAGTGGATTATCATTTCAAATAAGAAGTTGTAATTACATGCATTTACATACAGTAAATTAAAGAGTGTGGTTTGTAGAACAAATAAGTGAAATAACATCAATGTGAATCAATGTGTTTATTGGCGAATTCCGATATCGTTACCCTTAGTTAGTTAGTTATTGGAGAGGGTGGGTTTCCCCATGCACTTAGACCAGTATTGGTCCATTGTGCTTCCCTCTATGATATTCTACCAGTCTCTATACCCTACTTATATTGGTGCGTACTATCAGTCCCGACCGAGCCAGTGAGTTCGGCCTCTACTGGCTTGGCGGTATCTATAATGCTTCCCCCATCTATCAGAGGCGTTAGAGACTACTGTTGGGCGGGAAATGTCCTTGAATTTGGCTCAGTGACCTCCTATGGAGATATGAGGTTCTTTTACGTGCCGTAAAGCTACGACACGGGACCCACGGTTTAAAGTCCCTCCCGGAGGACTTGTTCCCTGAATTTTTCCGCCCTTAAAAATTCTACGACCTCCGCCGGTTTGAACCCGCGTACCACGAGTCATGAGGTGGGAACGTTACCTCTAGACTACGGAGGCCCTTTATCGTTACCCTTAGTCTCATGCTAACCAATGCTGCCATTTTCCCATAGCTACAAACATACCTTTGTTAGTCAGTTCTGTAAGGACAACTTACTGTGGCCTCATGCCTAAATAATTACCTCTTTTCAACAGAAGAAAAGAAGAAAGCACAGTAACACATATATTCACTCCACACCTGCAAAGCAGAGATAACACTGAGATTTGGTAATATGTGAAGATAGGCTCCAACAAAATCTTTCACGTAAGTTATAAAGCGTTCTCTTCCAATCTATCTTCGCCTAGTCCTCTCACATATCCAATTGATACCACATTAATCCAGTCACATTTCTAAGTTCATATGTACACAGGTATTACAAGTTCTGTACTAATCCATTCCGCGCTGCCTGCATATTATGGCCAATATCATGTTTCAAGAAAGAAAGGAAACTGCCACATCCCACTGGCAGAATGAGGGAAGTGGAACCTCTACTTAATGTTCATCAATTGAAGGTTTTCCTTCGGTGAACATTCAATTTCAATGCTCTTAAGTCATAATCCAGCGCTAAATTTTACACAATTCTCAGATCTACTGCTCCTCAAAGGAACCATGAATGTGAATTTCACTGTAATGTATTCTTCCACACAACAGGTGCATGATCTTGAAATACAAGCTTCACTTATCTGTTTAACATTCTTCGTTATAAAACGGAATTAATGAAGTCGTTTTTATTCAATACATTTTTGCCTTTATTTGGTGTGTACATGAAAGGTAAGGATACTTGTACCCCATTACTGCATGTGCATAAATACACAAAAAGGAATTATTTGTTACCAATGATTACATGCTAGACATACAGCTGGCATAAACACTACCAACATGTCACCCACTTTCCAATTGGCTGACACAGATTTCTTCATTTTCATAAACACAGCTTCAAGAATATAAGTTTCACCAGAGAGAATAATTTACAGCTGAACAAACAGTATTCATTACACAGGCATTAAACAATAATTTTAGAGCTGCAATTTCTGAAAGCTGCCAGTTTACCTTACGCAATATCATACAAACCTTCACAATATGAGATAAAATGCTGCTACTTTTAAACTAAGAATTTTCATGGAAGATTCTTTCATTCACTTTACTCTTCTATTTCCAATAAATTACACCAGCTCCAGCCAATTCATGGCTATTCTGGTTAATGTCACTTTTTAAAACTAAAAACAGTTTTCTGCCTTCATGTTTCATAGCATAAGATGCAAACACACCACAGTCATGGCACAGTCAAATACTTTGAGTTCTATAATCACCATAGCGACTTCGTCAACTTTGTACATTAACCTCAACAGAAACAGCATTCAGAGCTTTGACAGGGACTAATACTGATGACTGAATTTGAAATGCAGAATTATGTTACAGCTACACAAAAGATGCCTCCCGGCATCAGTTAATATCTAAACAAGAACACCAGCTGGCAGAATTCCTGACCCAACCTAACAAGTAATCAACTAACTATCCAACCCTGAAAATCAAACAAAAACATTGCATACAATTCTAAAAAGTGTTCATATACTGCATTTTAACAAAAGACTACTCTTTAAGGCATAAAAAGCAGAATTTTCACAATTTCTAACTACACAAGTATGTAATGAACTGACAGGTAGCTACATATATTATGTATATACATGAACTTCTACTTAGAAATAAATACTGAAATAAATACTTTCAAGATATAACGTGTACATTAGTTCAATGAAATGAAACAAATGAAGAAATAAAACGGAAGTATTACTGCATACCTGGATGTAATATGAATTAAAATAATTTGTATTTACTATCTTTTAAACAATTAATTACTTTGAAAATACATTTATTCTTGCAAATAAAATTGTTTCTTTGATAAACAATAACATTTTTATGAAATTAAAGCCTCTTGAAAATACCACAAAATTTGAAACCCCAATTATCTCTTTTAAATTGGTGGCATCAGAAAATATTCTGTTTAATATATCTTTATTTTTATCACCTGAAGAGTTTTACTAAAACATTTCACAGCTACAATTTGGAGCTTCTAGTTACTCCAGTTAAAATCCTGAGCCATGTATTTTCAGAGCTGGATTTATCAGCATGAAATCTGATAATAGCGTGTTGCTTCTATGTCTAAGTTCAATATTCATTAATCACTGCGGCCCCAAGGCACGGATGCAAGGAATGAGCTCCTCATCTGTGTCCTCCTCCGTCATCGCGCTGCTGCCCTTGCTGTCTTCCACCTGACTAGAGGCACTGGCACCGAACTTGGGCCCCTTACCAATCTCTGGGTGAAGGTTCTTGGGCAGGCTATAGTAGGAGTTGGGCTGTGCAGGCTGCCCCATGACATGTGGATCTGACCAGCGCTTTGAATGTGAGTGTGGATAGCTGCCACAAGCACCAACATAACACCGGTCATGATTGGTTCGATGTGGATGAAAACTGTTCCGTAGGACTGGAGGTGCAGTGACTGCATCAAGAATATTGGCCATTCCTCCATGCATATGGTTCGTACCTTCCATGCTATGATTACTGCCTCCTGTAGCTGCAAGTAAACATTACAAGCATATGAAACATCTAACAGCAAAGTAAGCTATCTTGAATTGCCTCAATTTCAGAAAACATAGATACAATTAAGAGTACTTAGGAAGTATTTAGAATGTCTTCTTTTTGTTCTATTAAGTAAAGCAGCCTAAGGATATGTTAAGCTTCAAGTATGGGATATTAATCACTTTCTTAAACTTTTAAATATAAGGGATGCTGTCCTTGCTTTTTTTTTGTGAAAGATATTGATACATTTAAATTTCACATGTATCTTAACACCACATGTTTCTAGTTATACATAAATAACATGTATATTCTAATGAACTGTGTACATTTATCTATGTCAGGCATTAACCTGTTTCATATGGAACATTCAATTTCCAGGCACTTACACACCTGGTGAAGTTTTCAATATAAATGTTCAACTCTGCATCAGGTCACAATATATTTAATACAATTTATAGCTTTAATTTTCAAACGAAAACTAGACGGTTTAGAATAAATCCATTAATCCATATACAAAGATTTCAAACAACTAGCCTTTGTACACAAAGCATAATTTATATTACTGAACTAATATTTTGGTTATTTTTTGTAGGTTTCAAACCCCTTCCCCCAACGGAAATAGTCATAGTTTTCCAGAATCTTTAAAAAGGTACTGTACATATGTCATAGTTTAAGGCTTCACTGTTACTAAAAACATTTGCCCTCTCAAAGCCCAGCAGTGTTGCTTATCCTGTCCTGCAATTTCCACGGATTCAATGTTGTCTTTATTAGTTGTTCTTAGGAAAAAAAAACCTACTAAAACAAACAGGCAAGCCCCATTAGCTGGCAGCACTTGCGGTTCAAAATTTTTACACCAAAATTTCAGACTTGCATCAGTCACGTCAGGGACCTAACATAAGGGGAAGGATACCCTGACCACAGACCATCCCAAGAAGACGCCCTCTCTGTCAGCTAACCATGGCCCTTGCAAGGAGGAAGTGTAAGACGGGTAAGGAGCACATTATAATTATGGAAACTAAAACAGAAATTATTAAACGATAAGGAAGAGGTGAGAAGTCTGCAGTTACTGTGTGTGCTTACAGAATGAATAAGGTGGCAACTATAACAGTTACAGGGTGCAAAAAGCAAGTTGTACAGCATGTAAAATGTTCCATGCTGCTGCAGTCCACAGTTATTTCAAAGAGAAGTGGCACATTAAAATAAGAAATAAAACCACTGCTGGTTTACCATAGTGAAAACCCTAGGCCCTTCAAAAATACTGTAAGGGCTTTGCTGCTTGCTGCATGGAAATCCAAACCAAAGGCATGGATGACTCAATTTTCCATGATTGGTTTTTTTCCACCCCTAACAGTTCTTTTGCCTGTTATGTGCGTAAGTGGAAGTAAGGGACTGGCCGTGGTGTGCATACATTGCTGTGAGTGATTGGTGCTCAATGGTACCCAACAATGGTGGCCTTTGCGACAGTTCTGACTCTATGATTCTCACTTTTCGGTGTCAAGTCACAGTACTTAAAAATATGAATTTTCCTCTTTTCTGGAGAACTTCATTATCAACATGGGTTTTGTCAAATACTGGAACACCAACTAATATTGAATGGATAATAAATTTACTTGTTCCAATTATCTAACGACACAACTCACAGGTTACGCCCACAGCGGGTCGTCATAACTGTAACTACATAAGGGTTCACAACTATAGCAGCCTGGCACAATTGGGCTGATACAAACTGGGGCTGCTCTGCCACAAAACTCTTCCACTGTAAATCTGGCATGAATCACAGACACAAGTGTCCAGCTGGAGAAGAAACTCATATTCTTAAAAACTAATATTTGTTGAAGTAAACTATAAGGACTTTGGTCCAGAACACCAGTTATATAGACCAAATTTCCATAATATTCCATGTGAATGTTAGGATAGTAACAAAACAAAAAATAAGTATTACCTTATAGGTCGTGGTTAGGTAAGGTATTCGTCAACACAGCATAAAATGGTTTTTCATTCAATCAATATTATTTGGATTGAATTTTATTTCTTACCGCTACATGTATTGGTCCTCATGGGACTATCATCAGGCAGTATTACGTAACATATAACATGACCACGGTTAACTGAACTCCGAATATTTTTAATATTTTTATTTATTTTGTGTAACATTCTATTCTTATACAGGGAAGCTGCGAATATATTGAATAAGCAGTTGCGGATGGCCAAGAAGGGGTGGTCCTCCAGCTTGGGGGTTGGGCGTGGGGCTTGAACTCCTCACTGTAAAAAATAAACTTGTTGCGAAGATTCTCAAGAAGCCTCAGACCTGGGCGGATTCCTTGGATAAACGACCTAGGCTAAAGAAAACGGACATGAGATTCGATACGACGAAACATCAGAAGTATGTATAGGGCATGTTCGCCCAGGGCAGTGGCGGAAGAAATCTTATAAGTTAGATTTAGTGGGGGTACAGGAGGTCAGATGGGACGGAGGTGGCATCTCACCAGCAGGCAAATATACATTTCTGTATGGAAAGGAGAATGAAAATCATTAATTAGGTACAGGTTTTTTTTTTGTACATAAGGGAATCGTATCAGCAGTTATGAGAGTAGAGTTAGTTACTGATAGGATATCATATAAAAAACTAAAAGGTCACTGGTGTGATATCATCATTACAAATGTTCACGCCCCAACAGAAGATAAAATTCATGACATAAGGGGCTGGTTCTATGAAGAAGTAGAGCATGTATTTGATAATTTCCTGAAGTACCCTATGAAAATTTTGGTAGGAGATTTCAATGCTAAAGTAGCGAGGGAAGATATTTTCAAACAAAAGATTCGGAATGAGAGTTTGCATGAAATTAGTAATGATAATGGAGTTAGAGAAGTAAACTTGGCCACATCAGAAAATATTACTGTCAAAAGTACAATGTTCCTGCATTGTGACATCCATAAATTTACTTGGACATCTCCTGAAGCGAAGATACAAAATCAAATCGACCATATTTTGATAGATAGGAGGCGGCATTCAAGTAAATTTGATGTCCAATCATTCAGGGCAGCAGATCGTGATACTGACCAATGCCCGGTGGTGGCAAAGGTTAGGGAAAGACCGGCAGTCAGCAAACAAACAACGCATACAATTCATATGGAGAGGTTCAATCTCAAGATATTAAATGAGGTAGAGGGTAAAGATCAGTATCGCGTTGAAATCTCAAATAGGTTTGCAGCCTTGGAAAACTTGGAAACTGAGGTGGATGTTAATAAAGCTTGGGAAACTATTAGACAGAATATCAAAATTTCTGCCAAGGAGAGTCTAAATTGCTATGAACCTAAAAAAGCATAAGCCATGATTCGATGAAAGATGCTCAAAATTACTAGACCAAAGAAAACTAGCCAAATTGCAATGGTTACTGGATCCAAGCGAAATACATACGGATAATCTGAACAATATAAGATGCGAAACCAGCAGGAATTTCAGGAATAAAAAGAAGAAATATCTGAAAGACAAAATTGACAAGCATGCAATGAACAGTAAGAACAAGAATATGAGAGACCGGTACTGAGGAATAAATGACTTTCAGGGGGGTTACCAGCCTAGCAGTAACTTAGTGAAGGATGAGAATGGTGATCTGCTTGCAGATTCCCATAACATTTTGAATAGGTGGAGTAACTACTTCTCTGTTACTGAACGTACATAGGGTCAGTGATGTTAGGCATATAGAAATGCACACAGCTGAGCCGTTAATACCGGATCCCAACACTTTTGAGGCTGAAATTGCTATTTCAAAATTGAAAAGGTATAAGTCATTGGGTAGTGATCAAATTCCGGCAGAACTTCAAGCAGGAGGCGAAATATTACATTCTAAGATCCATAAGCTAATTACTTCTATTTGGCATTAGGAATAATTTCCTGATCATCGGAAAGAATCTATTACTGTACCAGTTCACAAGAAGGGCGATAAACCTGGCTGTATTAATTGTTGGAGGATATCACTACTACCAACTTCATATAAAACTTTATCAAAATTCTTCTCTCAAGGTTAAGTCAATTTATAGATGAATTTATTGGGGATCATCAGTGTGGTTTCGACGTAACAGATCAACTACAGATCATTTGTCACACATAGGAGAAAAAATGGGAGTACAATGAGACATTACATCAGGTATTTGCAGACTTCAAGAAAGCCTATGATTCAGTTAGGATGGAGATATTGTACAATATTCTGATAGAGTTTGGGGTACTCATAAAACTAGTTAGGCAAAGTAAAATCTGTTTAAATGAAAGGTACAGTAGAGTCCATATAGGTAAACATATGTCTGATAAATTTCTCTACCCAGAATGGTCTAAAACAAGGAGATGCTTTATCGCCAATCCTTTTCAATGTTGCTTTAGAATATATTAGGAAGGTCCAGAAAAACCAGGTAGGACTGAAATTAAACGGGACACATCAGTTGTTGGTCTATGCCGATGCTGTGAATCTACTAGGTGATAATGTAGATACCATAAAGAAAAACACACAAACTTTAATTGACGCAAGTAAGGAGGTTAGTCTAGAAGTAAACACAGAGAAAACTAAGTGTATATGTAGCTGTCTCATCACCAAAATGCAGGGCAAAATCATGACATAACGATAAAAACAGATGTTTTGAAAACGTGGCACAGTTCAGATATTTGGGAACAACGATAACAGATCGAAACCTGATTCAGGAGGAAATTAAGAGGCGACTGAACTCGGGTAATGCTTGCTACCATTCAGTCCAAAACATTTTGTCTTCTCATCTGCTGTCCAAAAACATAAAATTTAGAGTATACAAAACTACAATTTTTCCTGCGGTTCTGTATGGGTGTGAAACTTGGTCTCTGACAATAAGGGCGTAACATAGACTGAGGGTGTTTGAGAACAGGGTGCTCAGGAGAATATTTGGACCGAAGAGGGATGAAGTGACAGGAGGCTGGAGAAAACTGCATAATGAGGAGCTTGATAACTTGTACTCTTCTCCAAGTGTAATTAGAATGATCAAGTCACGAAGGATGAGGTGGGCAGGGTATGTAGCACAAAAGGGGGAGAAGAAGAATGCATATAGAATATTGGTGGGAATGCCAGAAGGAAAGAGACCACTGGGAAGACCAAGGCGTAGATGGGTGGACAATATTAAAATGTATCTTAGTAGGGTGGGATGGAATGGATTGGATTGATCTGGGTCAGGATAGGGACCAGTGGAGGGCTCTTGTGAACAGGGTAATGAACCTTCGGGTTCCATGAAATGCTGGGAAATTGAGTAGCTGCAGATTTGGCTTCTCCTCAAGAAGGGCTCAGCTCAGTAAGTAAGTAACATTCTATTCTTTATTTGCAAATTCTATATTCTTAATATAAAATATCTTTTAACATACTAACCACCTTCAATATAATATTATCCACAAATATTCTTAAATACAAATCGCGTGTCGGATTCCGGAAGAACCCACCGTGGGTATGACAAACCTGGAGCAGATGATGCGATGGCTTCTGGTCATGCAAGAGATGGCCGCAGATACGAAAGCCTGACGAGAAAGGATGGCCGCCAGCCACAAGGAGATGGTGGTCGAACTCAAACCCGAAACAGACGTAAAGAAGATGGCCTGCTGAGAAACGACGGAGGCACGCATGGAAAAAGAGCAGACCTCAGCGGACAGGTTACTTGAAGTGTCAAAACAAGACGAGGTCCACGTAGAAGACGCCAAAATAATGCCGGTCGAAGAACCGAAGAAGAAACGGCGTAGGGACCGAAAACTGGCCACGGAGCGCCGCCGCCAGATTAACGAACGGACCCAGGGGCAGGGTGGGTGCTGAAGAAGACTGGCCGTCACCCGCAGAGGGACGAGCTGCCGTGCGAAAGTGGCACGGCAGACAAAGGAGACCGACAGGAAGATGTGCGGTCGTCCAAGAATCGCGTGGCGCAAGAGAAGCGTCGGCAGGAGAAACTGTATCAGGGCGAAGTATTAGGAAAGAATCTGGGGATTCAGAGAAAGAGTGCGGAATCTCCACGAAGGAAGAAAGGGAATAAAGAACACAGGCGGCAGACGGCCGCTATATCAGAAGAAAAATGTGCCAACCAAGGACGCCAGCGGATGGTGTAGATCAGGACAGCGATCGCACCTAGGATGGACAGGAACTCGAAAGAAGACCTACGAGATTGTCAGCGTGAAGATCGCGAAGCGAATAGCTGGATCTTCCGTCGGCCTACGACAAGGCCTCCTTGTGGAGGTGTCGACCCCCTCCGAAACGAAAAATGTAACAGCGCACCGAGGAGGAGCCGGTAACGTAGAAGCACCGGCCTTCCCAGGAATGAATGAGATAAGATGGGGCCAACGAACGCTGGACCATGGAGCTGCTTGGGACGAGGACCCTTGAAGAAGGGGGCGGAGATAGCGCTTGGAAGAACAAGGAAATGAAACCAGGGAAGTGCCGTTAGACTGTTCGGGACGAACAACGTTTAGAAGGGAGCAACGAAACACGCTATATTACAGCCATCGCTGCGCAACGCCTATAATAGTACGTTAACAGGTAACAGTGAGCTTCCACGGTTACAACGAATACATGGAAAGTTGCCACAGCGACAAACGCAATAACAGTGGACCGTTGCCTGGAAATGCCTGGGATAACAATCGGATTTCCTCGGAGATGAAAGGAAACGAATTGTTAGCAGCGTTGAATGACAACAGAAGGTTCGTTGCGTAGCAACAGCCGAGGTCGAAGCCCAGCTTCGACAAGAGACCAGTCAGTTCTTAGTGTAGCACAGTGTAGAACAGAAGCCAGTTCGCATCTGACTAAAGGAATAGAAGACTTCACCGAGATTAGCGGTGCAAGAAGTAATTACAACGGAGTTGCAAGAAACGTCTGACGTTATAAGTGGATGAGAATAGCACTTGGTTCTGCTATGGCTAATCGCAGTGAAGCCAAATTCCTGAATGGAACAGAAAGGAAATTTTACCAGTTTAAGCTAGTTCTACTTGGAGAATATTCAGCTGGCAAGTCAAGTTTAGCACTGAGGTTTGTGAAGGGACAATTCCATGATGATGAAGAAAGCACAATAGGAGCTGCATTTTTTACACAGACAATATGCCTCGATGACTCAACAGTTAGATTTCAGGTGTGGGACACTGCAGGCCAAGAGAAGTATCATAGTGTTGCTCCACTGTATTACAGAGGAGCCCAAGCGGCCATCGTGGTGTATGATATTACAAACCAGGACACATTTGGGAGAGCCAAGACGTGGGTCAAAGAACTTCAGAGGCTAGCACTGCCAAATATTGTTATTGCACTTGCGGGTAATAAAACAGATTTGGCCAATAAAAGAATGGTGGAACATGATGAAGCTCAAGGTTATGCTGAAGAAAATGGTCTGCTCTTCATGGAGACCTCCGCAAAGACAGCTATAAATGTTAATAATATGTTCTTGGCAATTGCCAAAAAGCTCCAAAAGAATGAGCAGGTGATTGGTGCGGGAACCACGGGTAACGATCGGCGACTGGTTGAGTCTGAAGGTCAGCAGAAGGCACCGGGAAAATGCTGCAAGTGATCCGTCTGAATGCCATTTTGGATCTTCTTCAAAACTCATGTCAGTGTTTACTACCGACAAAATGGAATTAAAGTGTTGGTAGGAGAAAATCCATGTATTGTTTTGAAATATGTTACATATTTGGTATGCTTAGTTACAGTTTACACATTGGAGTGCAGGAGTTTGGCTCCCTGGCCCTGTGCTCTGGTATCTTGCTTAAATTATTTTTCTTATGGTAGCATAGTTGGTTGAGGGGCTATGCTACAAGCCGGAAGGTCGCGGGTTCAAGTCTCGATGAGGTAACTGAATTTTTTCAATTGACCTAATCCTTCCATGGCCTATGGGGTCGACTCAGCCTCTAGCAGAAATGAGTACCAGGAATTAATTAAATAATTTTCCTGGGGAGTAAAGCGCGGACAGCATGTAAGGCTGACAACCTTACCGCCATCTTTGAGCCGATTGTCTAGATAATGTGGGACCCTCAACGTCTCACAATCCTATGGGCCTTCACGGCATCTTACAGGGATAGCTTTACTTTACTATAGAACACAAATATTATACATTAACATTTTAAATATGTGAAGGTAATTCTGAAACTGATGCCTCCAAATTATTTCCTTGACTACAACTGAAAGTAAGCAAATTAAACATGTATGTCAAGTACTACAAGTCTTACATTTATTTATTTTTCCACTTATTCGCCACTTCTTTGTATACATATTCCCAACCACCAAACTGAGCCAACATCTTAGTGCTGTAAAAGTTGCTGTCAGCCTCCCAGAGCCACTTCTTGATGGTCACAGGGAGCACATCATCACTGGCAGATTGTTTCCTATGAAGGCCATCCTTCATTGGGACAAACAGGTGGAAGTGTGACAGTACTCAATCTGGACTGTACAGTGTAACAAACCGTCCACTTTGACTCCCTCATCAGGATGCTGGTATGGGGCACAGCATTTTTGTGCTGAAGGAAAAATTTTCCTCCCTTCTCAGTCCTTAGGATAGCGCAGTCGGTATAGCGACTCACTAGGCTGCGACATAGCTCAAGTGGTTAGTTGCTGGCTCACCACCGCGGCGGCCCGGGTCTGGTCAAGTGGGATTTGTGGTGGACAAAGTGGGGCTAGGGTGGGTTTTCTCCGAGTACTGCTAATCTTCATTCCACCAAATTCTCCATCATCATAATCACCCGGGGCAGGTACAATTGGCCAATCAGTGGCCGCCATGCCGAGTGGACCCTGCTGGATTCGACCCCCCATTAAGCAAATTGAGACCCAGTAGGGTCAAGAATTTTCACTTCTCCATGTCATCCAGACCGGCTCTGGGGTCCACCCAATCTCCTATCCAATGGGTACCAGGGGCTCTTTTCCCATGGGTAAAGCGGCTGGGGCGTGAAGTTGATCACTCACCTCCAACTAGTGCTGTGGTCAAGAAAACGTGGGTCTCTACATCCATTCCCTTATACGTCTTCATGGCCTAGTGCTTAATTAGTTTAAGTGCAAATACAAATTCCTTGTATATTTCTGATAATTTGATAATGGTAACAGTGTAATTCACACATTATAATGTAAGGCATAACTTTTATAATATGGATGCGTTGCATCAAAATATGGAACCATATTGGGAGTTCAATTAACTTTAAATGATATAAACTCCGTCCTAAGTGCAACATTTTATTGTAGGTCTTTCGTCTTGCTTTCTTTTACACTACATGTTTCGGCCGCAAATGGCCATCATCAGGTGTATACACTCACGTAGCTGTTACACTGCACTTAGTTTAAAATTTAAAGCACCGGTCTTCCTAACTGTTCCTTTCGTCATCACTACCAGAATCTACTTTGCTGATATTTGTCTAATTCGTACATTATCTTTGTTGCCTACACATGTCAATTTTGATTTTCATGAACTGGCACTTTTAAATCTTCAGTTCCAATTTTAAAAATTCCTTTAAATTTTTTTTTTCTATATTTTAAAATTTAAAATTCTCAGGGTTACTCGCTCTATGTCTATAGTGCTGCAGCGGCTACTTCTTGTTTTCAGCACTGTACAGGTGTTATTCTGTGTAGTCTCCCTGTGTGTGTGCCGCTGCTTATTTTAACTACGTGTGCTGTCTTTACTTTAGTCGTATTACATTATACTTACCTGCTGATGATCCCATGAGCACCGAAACACGTAGCGGTAAGAAATAAAATTCAATGAGAAATATTGACAGATTGAGAAATTGCTATGTTGACAGATACCTTACCTAACTAAACAACAGGATGCACAATATGCTATTACTTCACATGTCTCACTAGTACTGCACATCTACTGAAGCTCATACCCTGCTTACCTGCAAGACTAAGAACAAGGCCATTCATCAGCAGGTTGTCGCTGCTATGTTTTCCAGCAGAGTCACCAGTCCCACTGTCCTTGCTACCGCTTGAATGCTCCGAGTTGGTGTCAAGGTACAGATGTGGGGCTGAGTCCCTGTCATCAGGGGCCGTTGTGGCAGACAGTAATGTGCCAGGGTACGGGCACTCATCGTTTCGTACTTCCACTATGCCCATGCGTTTGCGAGTCTGATAGATTATCACCACCCACACAATTGAAGTGCCAACTGCACAGCACACAACTGTGATGATGATGATCCCAGTCATGTCACTCTCATTCATACTGGGGCCTGACGCTGTAACCAGCCGTAATACTAATTACTGACTACAAAAAACACATGCAATATTGGTAAATCAAATTCATGTCATCATAAATGGCATTTTTTACACCAGCCATGTCCAACACAGCACCCATGGTATATTTATTATTATTATTATTATTAGTAGTAGTAGTAGTAGTAGTAATAGTAGTAGTAGCCTGGTGGCGCCCGCACCTCCATAGGCACCAGTGAATTGTGCCCGAGTACATAAGAACATTGGACGGCACTGCTTTACACCATATACCCAAAACAGAGGACATTATCCTTGTCACTGTTTTACTGTTGTCATCTTCTATACTGAAGAGTTCTTTCTTCTGAGATATAAAGCTGCAAAGTCCATCGAGAGTAACTCGACGTTTCGGAAGGAATACATCACCAGTCTTCAGGGTTGCACAAGAAGTCAACAAACCAGCATGAAAGCAGGTGGCAAGCAGAGGCTCTGCTCTCCTCCAGTCATTTGACTTTCAACGAACAACATGGCGTTATATCCTAGAAGATTCTTCAATACTGTGAGAACCTCAAATCCTCCATCTTCCATACTGTATGCTTGTAACCACCATTCCATCATCAGACTGCCTATGTATGGAACACTAATAACAATCAAGTCTCAGATCCTGTAAAGACCCAAGTGGAATGCTTCATACAATGAAGATAATAATATGGTTAGAGTCTGCAGAAGGAATTTTAAAGAAATGACACAACTAATTTGACAGCAAATAAATTATAGTTTGTATACAGCGAGAAATATGTATGATAACATTATAAGCAACAATGAAGTGTGCACCATTGCAGTCGCTCTCTGCTGGGCTTGTTTTGCTGCTGCTGCAGTCCATAGACATTGGATGTAACTATGGCTTTCCTTGGACGATGATGCCAATGATTCCTCTGCCTGGGGTGGCCATCCTTACCGCTTTTCCCCACACTTTCCTCATGGTTGTCATAGCGATAGGCTAGGAAGGCAGAAGGACGGATAGGTGATAACAGATACGGGTCTCGTGGCTACAAATTTGTATAATTCTTCAGGTAAGGTCAGACACAATGGTGACTAGCTGTGGCTGGGATTGGTAGAGCCAGAGATATGGTCTCTGGGTCATATCGGGCCTGGCTTAACAGAACAGAAAGAACCTGGTTGTACACGCACACACCATGATCATTCGAATGTACCTCAGAGACAGATTTCATTATGTAACACATGTATACTGGCAATGATAGTAACACTTATGTATACAGGAATATACTTTCATATTGTGATGTGCTTCCATTAAGTCACAATGGCTAAATAAATTTTCATGGTTCACACTGGTAACTAATAAGTATTCATAATGTATCCCAGTTGGCCAAATAGTTAAATGGTTAACTTAGTAATTCAACAGGGCGCAACTTATGCATCCTGCCACTTGAAAAGACTGGGAACAGACTCTCCATAGAAGTGGCTCGTGCTGAGGCAGTAGACACCTCAGGACCTCCAGTTTCTGTCGCAAGTTGTCGTCCTCGAGATAATCCAGTGGTTCATTTCGAAAACAAGGAGGACTCAACATTTTTACACTTACCAATCAGCTACCCTTCTCAGAGAAATCTCAACCTTAAGACCTCAAACAGCATGACAGACAGTCCTTGATGGATATTCCTGAAAGCGTCCATTCAAGAAACTCCTACTCCAGAATTAATGACTGCATGAACCTGTCAGATCTCAGGTTCTCAAAGAAAAACAGAGGTCTTTGAACTTCACAAAAATTCTATGAAAGATAATCAATGCTTCTGGACTTCCCGGCAAGAAGTGGACTAAGTGGCTCACAATTAACAGTGCAAGAATGGGATCCTCTCTCTTCTGGATTCCTAGCCATGCTGGGCAGTTACATCAAGCACACACTAAACGAGACAGATAGTTCAACTCAATGATGCGCCAATCCCCAGCTAGTAAAAAATTATCCAAATTTTCTTACTGCATAAGAGATGATGCCATTACAATTTGGCAGAACTATTCCTGTTTCCTCTTATTTTCAACTGAATTTAAAAAACCAAACTTAACCTTTATTGTCCACGTGCTGCAAAACAGTGCCAGTGCATGTGCTGGGTCAGAAGACTCCAGTATGCGCCACACCACTGGCAAGTTTAAATCTGGCCACCCACACACCATTAGTGGAAGATTTATAACAGGTTGATAACAGTTAACAGAGTTCAAGCAAAAACATTTTACAGTCTCTAGATATAGCATTAGTTCCGAAAAAACCAAATGAGTAAGTTTGGTACACAGTGCTTACAGTACATGTTCAGAATGCTTCCAGTAGCTTCAGTCTTAGGAAAGAGGAAGAGGACAATTTATACTTGTTCCACACATTACAACTCTATAATCCAAAAAAATTCAGGGTAAAATAATACCAAGATCTCTCACCTGGAATGACGGATAGCTGCGAGAAACCTTGTTCTGTGCCGAGCATGTTAGACATCTGGCATTCATATGTCCCAGCATCTGAGAGATCCGTATCGACAATGACAAGAAGCTGATCATCAGCAGTGAAGAAATGTCTTTCTGTGACGGTAAGATCTCTGCCGTCTTTCCTCCACGTCAGCTTGGGTTTAGGAGATCCTGAGGCCATACATCCCAGCACAATAGGTTCCCCAGCAATTATCTCCTTATTTTCCATTGGCTTCACAAATGATGGTGGTTCTGGAAATAACAACAACTGTTTGACAACATAACCATCCATCACCACACACTGCCTTCCTACAGTCTGATACTTCACCTTGAATCTTTGCTGGGGTGCTGCTGTTTATGAAGTCTAATGCTTCAGGTTACTGAAGGCCTCTGTGTACTCTGGGTATACATCTACACCCCTTGGCATAATGGGCTAGGTCACTTTTAACTTAAGTTGGGTTAGGTTCTGTTACAGGTGTACATATATATATATATATATATCCTCAGGCATTTCTTTAAATTATCCAGAAAAATTTACCATGGGAAGTGTTGAGGGGCTAAAGTGAGAGAATGTCATGAGAAATTCTTTCCCAGACCAAATCTAGCCATAGTCTGAGTGGCACATGTTATATATATACCAGGCTCCTGCCCAGTTAACTGCACACAAACACAGTTATTAGCTTCATCAACCTTTCGTGCCATCTAAAGAAGCAAATGAATCACAGAAGCAGATTGGAAGAGCTGAAAATAGAAAACTACATTGTAAGAAGACTGGCTTGCTCAGTTACGTGGGAGTTGAGTTTCTTATTCTTCCACGAGTTGCATTGCAGTCTCTTTGTCATTTCCTCGGTTTGTGCTGCTCAGTTCCGTTCCAGGTGTTCAACTCAGTCTGATAACATTTATGGGAAATTGCGGTTGCCGGTTTACTTGGTGTGCCCGTGCCCTTAGTCTTGGAATCTGGTGAAGATTATTTTGTGTCTTTTGGGACCGTGCCTCACGTACGTCCAGAGGATATTGTGTGATTCAGCCTAATATTTCTAGAAGTATAACTGAGTGAAATGTATGTGGCACATAGCCAATATAAAGACAGCCGTCCTGTGTGACTGATTTGTTTCATTCACTGATTGTTAACCGGTTTGTGGAACCATACTTCAGTCTCTGGTCTGTCATATTGCTTCTGTTACCCTGACTATCATGTGGTTAGCCCGTAAAGAAACACCCACAACAAGAGAACTCACTTCTTTTTGACAGTGTTAGTAGTACCACATATTTCTTTAACCCAGATCTGTCTTTCGATTCTTTGGTGTTAACTCATGTGCAGTCCCATTAATCATACTCGCCAGAAGAATAAACTGGGTGAATACGGTGCACCTCACTATGCCCCAATGGAAGATTATAAACACATTAGTTAGGTAGTTAGTTATTGGAGAGGGTGGGTTTCCCCATGCACTTAGACCTGTATTGGTCCACTGTGCTTCCCTCTATGATTTCTACCAGTCTCTATATCCTACCGGTACTGGTGCTTACCATCAGTCCCGCCCAGCCAGCGAGACCGGCTCTACTAGCTGAGAGGTATCTATAATGCTTCCCCCATCTACCAGAGGTATTAGAGACTGCTGTTGGGCGGGAAACGTCCGTTAATTTGGCTCAGTGACCTCCTTTGGAGATATGAGGTTCTTTTACGTGCTGTAAAGCTACGACACGGGGCCCACAGCTTAAAGTCCCTCCTGGAGGACTTGTTCCATGAATTTTTCCACCCTTAAAAATTCGACGACCTCCGCCGGGTATTTGAACCCGCGTACTAGGAGTCATGAGGTGGGAACGTTACCTCTAGACTACGGAGGCCGCTTTATAAACACATTAAGAAATCAATAACTCATATTCTCATTTAAGATCACCAAAAATTTTTTTCACCAAACACTAAGAACATCCTCTAAAGTTTGTAGCCTTCTAAATGAGAAACAGCAAATACACGATGTCTACTGACTGACCTTCGACTGTTAAAGAAGCATTGGCAACAATCACTCCGGCCTGATTCTGGGCCGTACAGCTGTAGGTGCCCATGTCCACTGTCTTCACATTCAGTATGAAAAACACATCATCTGTTGGCATCACGTGCATGCGCCGTTCCCTTGCAGCTGGGAAGTCGTTACCACCGTCCTTCTGCCAAGCAATCTCTGGAGGGGGCTGCCCCCTTGCCGCACACTCCAGACGAGCAGTGTTTTTAGTTTTCACAGTTATATTTCCTGGAGTTTTCACAAATGTTGGGAAAACTGAAACACAAATAATTTGGAAGACATCAACTCTTGTTGTGCCTGCAATTATGTATATTAGAAGAGCAATGTTGTAACGAAAGAACAAGGCAGCTGACATGTAGCATCAAAAGTAGAGATAATTAACAACATAGTGCTAAGTGCCACTATGCATCATTCATCATGACAAGTTAACTCTTTATGTTGGAGCAGTGGATCTTGGTGGGAAAGCTAGAAGGGAAGAGACCACGAGGACGACCTAGATGTAGGTGGCAGGATAATATTGTGATGCATATGACAATGGTTTGGTAAACATATTCCCCAGGGTACATCTCAACAGTGGAGGGACATCCGTTGCTCGGTAGCAAGTCGCTAGGCACATTTCTGTGACAATGGACAAGCACAGAATACCAAAAAAAGTGTCTATTTGGTTCACCCCGAAGTTATAAAATGGGGACACACAATTAATTCAAGAGTTTATTCATAAGGGAGTCATCATTCGACATTCACTGTTTGTAAATTAGAACCAAGTTAATCAGAGTAGAAGAGAAGACAAGTACAGTTCAGCAAGATGCAGTGTCTTAAGCACTCACGGACTGTGAGATGTCATAACTGATTGTAATTAAGAGTAACTGTAATAGATGGCATCAACAAATCCAATTATCCAATCGAGAACTTTTGTGACCATTAGTGCCAAAGGGAAGCATTTCCGGACATGGGTGTATTAACAAAATATGATCATACTGAACCCATCTATCTACCACAGTGTGCTGTAACATATATTTATTTACACCCTTTATAAGTCAAACAAAACCCCTTACACATGACAGTATTTTGTTGTATTAACTGAAACTGAAAATCACAGTTATGCTGTCATGCAGTTAGTCATCCCCTCCCCTCCAAGTATTATCACATTACAGTTTCCAACAAGCAAGTCCCCCCCCCACAAACTACAGTATTGTAAAACTGTTCACCTTACTACTCCCATTTCTGAAGTCACTGGCTCATTAATCACCAAATAAATTAAAATACAAAGGACTCCAAATGAATAAATACAAAGGAAGTGGCTATATACAGTTATACATACTTAAAACAGAGATCCTGGCCTTTAGTGAATATGTCGTGCCATAATTGTTGGAAGCCACACACTGATATCTGCCTGTGTCGCTGTCCGAAATGTTGACAAGGGACAGAACCGAATCATGCTCCGTGCCCTTTCCATTTGGACTGCGAGCAAAGTTCGAGATGTTTCCACCTTGAAAATCCAGATTATCTTTCTTCCACTGGACGGTCATTTTCACATGTGATGACGACACAGCTTTGCAACGCAATGTTACATTTCCTCCTTTTAGAGCCACCTGTGTTTTAGGATCTTCAGTGATGCGAGGGTTTGGAAAATCATCTATAAAGAATAAAATGCACATTCATAAAGTTAATAAATATGTCTAAGAATAATCACGAACATACACCGATCTGTGCCAGCAAAACAACAGAAAATGTTGAAGAAATCTGAGAACTCATCCATGAAGACTGCTGCCGAACAGTCCATGAGCTCACAGACACCACTGGGATCAGGTATGGAATTTTCCAAGAGATCTTAACAGAAAATCTGAACATGCACCGCACTGCCGTGAAGTTCGTTCCCAAACTCTTGACAAATGATCAAAAGCAGCAGCGCGTAAACCTATATCTTCAGCTATGAGAGACAGCTAACAAGGACTCAACTTTTATGAGTATCTCTAGGATCATGACGGGTGACAAAAGTTTGATTTATGGTTTTGATCCAGAAACAAAGCAACAATTGTCACAGTAGAAGAGCCCACAATCACAAAGAGAAAAAGGCACGGCATGTCTGGAGTTCAACAAAGAGCATGCTCATTGTTTTTATCGGTGTGAAGGGGATTGTTCACGATAAATTTGTTCCCCTTAACATTACAGTCAACTCTGACTTTTACTGTGATATTTTGAGATGTTTGAGAGAAAATGTGCAACAAAAAAGACTGGAACTTGCAACCACAACTGGCTCCTCCATCACAACAACGTACCCGCCCACACATCCCTGAAAACCACAGAGTTTGTGACTAACTACAACATGGTTATCATTCCCCATCCTCCTTAATCACCAGAATTAGCCCCCTATTATACCACTTTATTTCCCAAATTGAAAATGAAACTGAAGGGATGACAAACAGTGTCTAACATCCAAAGGGAATCACAAGTGGTACTCGACAGCATTAAGGAACCATAAGAAACCACGTGGAGTATCCATGACTCTGAGACATGATGCTGACTCTCAGAAGTGTGTTATGACTGCTATGTAGCAAACCATAAACAGTTCTCTATATGTATGCCACTACTGAATTCCCTTTGTATTAAAAATACACATCACACTTTTGGTTTTAGCAAATATTATTATATTATATTATATATATGATTATAATATTTTCCATGTTAAATTTCTGACCGTCTCCCTCAGTTTTAATTTTTCAAACTTTTGGCCCTATAGAAAAACATTATTTACCTTACTGAACGGGGAAAAGATGGTTATAATCTTTAAAATATCAACAAGTCTACTTAGTTTAAGAAAATATTTTAACCTTTCAACTTCAGAGACTTTCAAAATGTAAAACTTACAAAAAGAAAACCAAATCTCTAGGACTATATTTAAACACAAAACATGCCAACTTTGTATAACTAATGAAATGGAAGATAACGGGAATGAAGTGCAGACGGCCACCTGTACTTACCGCAGGTAAAATTCCCAGGATGCACCTGTGTGACAAGCTTCCCTTCCAGCCATTCAGGATAAGCACAAACAGCAATGATAGGTGTCTGGAAATTTGTTGCTTCAAGCCAAGCAGGAAACCATTTCAGTTTGCAGTCACACAACAAGCTTGTTGTGTTTATAAGAAGCTCCTTCAGTTCCGACATACTTGAAAAGGCATTCTCTTGCACTGAGGTAATGTTGTTGTTGCTCAGATCGAGCTTCTTCAGTCTCTCCAGTCCAACAAATGCTTTCTTTGTGATGGACTTGATGTGGTTCGAAGCTAGTCCAAACTTGAGCAACCGATTTAAACCAACAAATGCACTGCTCATATCCTCAATTGTTGTTGATATCCTGTTCAAATTCAACTCCCTGAAATAAACATTCATTTCATTAATTTTTTTTAATATTTAAACCCTTTCTATAAGAACAAGGTTCAAATAGAGTGGGGTTTTATTTTTGTTCATAATGTACCAACTACAGCCCCACCAATGTCACTGTTATCCTCAAACTTTATCAATGCTACTCCCACTTTCTGACTCATTATACAAAACATGCACAGTTTCATTTTCTTTCCAACAACTGCAGGTCCAAAATCATTATCATCACTCATGTTATCATTATCATTATCATTATGAGTGTCAATAAACGCATCACTTGGAAAATCAGGTAGAGCATTCCCACGTAACTTTGTCAATAAACAGCTTTGCTTCCTGCAGATGTCATTTCTACTTGACTGTACCAAGATAAAAGAGAATGAAAAAATAGATAAAGGGTTTATAATGGTGTCCTAAGAAATAGAGAGCAATTTGTCTTAGCAGGAACATTGCAAAAACATACGACAGGTCATCAAGAAAGAGCACACACTCCCGCAAAAAAAAAATCTCTCTCTCCGCCCCCCCCCCTCTCTTTCTCTTGGGGTTTTGTGTGTGTGTGTGTGTGTGTGTGTAGGTGGGTGTATGCACTCAGTTGTATGTCTAGGTGCATGCATGAGTGTATGTAAAAACATTTCCTGCCTAAAATGTGTTCATTAGACAAACCATATTTAATTTAAATGAAAAATGAAGAATTTTATTTGCATGTGTTGTTCATCTGTTATGTCCATCAATTCTCTGTCACTTTCTTCATAAATCAGTATGGATAAAACAAACAATTGATGGCATTATGTAAACATGGTTGGTAACAGAACTCCCCATACATATTTTTGTATGTGTCTCATAAAATATGCACTAAATTTTAAAGTAAGGCAGAATGAAAAGTACAACACTGTTCAGAGTTTCAGTTCAGAGCTACATAATTACATGACCATGAAAATGTTTTGATTACTCTATGTACATACTGAAAGAGGGAACATTCATCTTACTCACAAGACTTCTAGTGCAGGAGTGCTGTTAAATGCACCTTCAGCTATATATGTGATTCTGTTGTTACTCAGATGTAATTTTTGCAACTTGGAGAGATGTTCAAATGTTTCCTTCTCAATTGATTCCAGTCTGTTATTTGATAAGTCCCTGAAATGAGAAATACGAAACCAGAAAATATAGATTAAACCGACTTTTGATGCCTATTACATACCACAAAAATGAGGTTGTTCACATATTAGTCTGGAAGTGAACTATACCGACCGAGAGACTGCTGTTTGTTGGCGAACTTAGTGCCAACTTTAGCAGATAACAGTTCTGTAACCAGGAACTCCTTTTTATTCTCTTCCAAATGACAGTAAACAGAATGCCACCATTCACTATGTGTCACTAGGGACATTGGTAGAGTCCTTGGTGTTCAGGTTTCAAGATATCAGATTTAAAAAATAAGGTTCTGAACTTAAGAGCAGTAAGCGTTAAAAAAAAATTCAATGAGCACACAATATAACAATCAATATGAATTTAATTTGACACTGTCATATCCAGCAACTGATTGTACATGAATTCTGACAATGAAAAGTCGGTATACACTCAGTTCTTTTTGCATTTACTTCTAGCACAAAAGTACGAGGGCTATTCTGAAGGAAACCTCTGGTGAACTGTTAAACGAAACAAGCGCTGAGGAAAAAGTTTTATTATATACAAACAGTATGTACATATTTAAGCTACATCTCAAGGTAAGTCACTTCTGGAATTGAGGCACTTGTCATATCAGGAAATAAGTTTCTGTATGCCTCTTTCAAACAAGTCTGCCACCTGTGAGCTCAGCCACATTTTGACACCTTCCATCAACTCATTACTTTTGAAGTGTTATGTTCAAAGCCAGTTCTTCAGGCAGTACACAGGTGGTAGTTGCTCAGAGCAAGATTAGGGTTGTAAAGAGGGTGGTCAAACAACTCCCAGTTGAAATGCTCCAGCAGGGCAGCAGTGCTAAAGTATGAGCAGCTGTATGTCGATGGGCCTTTTGTTCTGAATGCCCCTACACAGTTTTTTTTTAACATTTTGCAATACACATCTGATGTTATTGTGGTCCCCTGTTGCATGAATTCCACCATCAGCACTCCTTCCCTGTCCCAGAAAACAGCTGCCATCAGCTTTCTCGCAGATATTTGTTTAAACTTTTTTGGGGTGTCTGGCGAATGTGTATGCATCCACAGCTTTGACTGCTCATTGGTTACAACATTTACAAATGAAAACCATGTTTCACCACCTGTTACTTGTACAATGTGATTGAGAAATTAATCGCCATCTTTGTGGTATTGCTCTAAAGTCAAAGCTGAAGCCATTCTCTGTGTTTTGTGCACATCAGTGAGCATTTCTGGAACCCATCTTGCTCAAAACTTGCGAGAGCCTAGCCTAGCCTAACTGTGATAATCCTGTGCAGAACAGTGTATGAATTTTGTTGAAATTCACATGAAGGTCCTGAAACTGTGAAGTGACATCTTTCACAAATTTTCTGGTCAACACTTTGAACAAGATCATCACTCACTACAAACGGCCGACCACCTCACTCTTCTGTGTGAACATTCATTCACTCATCTTTGAACATTCTACACCACTATCTTACAATTCCTTCCCTCATTACATTTTAGCCTTAAACTATGCATAACTCATGAAGAATTTACACAGCACTCATAATTTTGGCATAAAGAAAGCAGATAACAGTGTGACTTGCAAATGGCGGGATTATCAATCACAGAACACATCATAACTCACTTTGTAGAGACAAGAACAAACATTAGGTGACCAGTTATGTGATAGCTTACAAGGCAAGGAGTCATATGATGCTACCTAGCATGTGCAAACTCTCCCCCACTCTTCATTAGTTGCCTAAAAAACAGAGGTTATTTTCCAAATAGCCCCCATAAATACTGAAAACTAAAATAGAAAACTGACTGCTGGTAACATCAATTCTTTGCTAAAAAGGAAACTATTTAACACTTGTGAAGGGGACAACCAGTGACCTCCACGTTGCTTGCCCTTCTGGGTGCTGAGTTTCCCATTCTGTGTGTCACTTCCTTTCTTCCTCTTTGAAGAACAGACTGGTTATTTTAAATCGATAATCACCAAATTTCACATCTCAAATTTGTACTCACATTTCATAACTTTAACAATCCAAATTAATTGTCAAGACTGCTCAGTTCTTTCATCAATATTAAAGAAAACACTAGTAAAGTTTAGACCACAAAAATGAGTTTCTGTTACAACACTTGTTCATCCCTTTCTCAACTTCTATGTCACTTAGCTATATTTCAGAGAACTTCCATGAAAGATATGTGGCCAGCTTTAAGAACAGTAACATGATAATTCTGCATTGTAGTGGGAAAGTACAACTGTCAAAAGAGGGTCAATGTATTTAAAATCAATACCATGAAAAATTCACATCTAACTTTCAGTTGATCTATTTTCAATCTAAATGCAAACTGTTTGTGTCCTGAATACATAAACAATTTGGTGAATTAACCACTTACAGTTCCTTCAGAAGCTGACAAAATTCCCATCCATCTTGTTCAATACTAGATATATGGTTATTAGCCAGAGTGAGTTGATGTAGAGAGCTCAGCCCATACAACCAACCTTTAGTAATGCTTGTGATGTTGTTGAAATCCAACTGTCTGTAACGATAAAATCCAATCAGTTTCAGAATACTACAACTGGCTGGACCTTGTAGAATGCTAAACTTCATATTCAGTCATACTTACAGAGTGCTCATGTTCTTCAGTCCCCAAAATGCACCATCCAGTAGTGTCTGTATTGAATTCCGCCGTAACTTCAGAACGCTCAAACCTTCTAAGCCATGAAATGACAAGCCTTCTATTTCAGTAAAATGATTTCTATTCAGCTCCCTGCAAAAGAAAACACCACCAAATAAGATGACACGCAGTGCATTTACTTTATTTGTAAAATCATGTTCGCACTGTGGGTAGTAACCCAATGCAATATGGCAACTAATTTTAATCCTTTTAATTTCTCCAAAACTCCCATGCCACATAGACAGACCTGTTATTCCAACATGCATGAACTAAGATAAAATGTATGAAAATGATCATTTAGGTAAAAGCATGTGAGATTGGCATTTATTATATATAAATTTACTTGTCTTTCAGTGGAATCAAATGCTCAAGAATGATTACTTCACAATAAAGCTCACAAAATGAATTTATGTGAGCGATTTACACTACTGTTGTGGCTGCACAGAAGTCATGTCTGACTGAGGCAACATGAACGATATATTAAAAATTCTGGATGATATTTCAGTTTTCATTTATAAGCAACTTCATGTTACCTTATGCTGGCAAACACCATTCACAAGATCCAAACACTACATGAGTAAAGTCAGTTTTTGCATTTTAACAAACTGTTCTTTTTTTATACCAAAACATTCATTCATTAAGCAAAGTTCTATTTGTCCTTTTCACAAACTATTCTCTAATTTCTGCTTCATTACAGCTGTTACTTACATAATTTAAATAAAATTTATTTGTTTGATTGCTTTAAGCTAACCACCTACATACCAAATTCTGGGTGAGCTACTAACTCATCAATTAGTCTGGACACATCCCACTCTCTACAGAACCCAAAGGTTTATCACAGTGTTCACAAGAGGACAAACATGGCACACACACACTGTGATCTATCCAATCCATACCATGCCAACCTATCTCTCTAAGATCCATTCTAATATTGTCCACCCACTTACACCTTGGTCTTCCCACCAATACTTAAAATAATACTTCTCCAAAATACTGTACCACTGAATTTTAATGAAATACAGTCTTTCATATGAAAGTACAAAATTGTCAAACTTACAAAATCCTCAAATGCTTAAGATCTTTGAATAATCCTTTATGGAATTTTGTGAGATGGTTGCGATTGAGCCTCAGTTCTGTAAGCAAGGGCAGATTGTCCAAACTGCCCTTCTCAATAGCAGAAATCCTATTATTGTTCAGATTTCTGTAACAAAATAGATAAACACAGGCTTAATTACACATGTGCATTATACACAGCAGAGCACCAATATGATATATACCTGGCCTCAGAGCCACTGCACTCCCCTCTGGTGATTGTACGGAAACTGCGAAGTCAGATACTCAAATATATTGTAATATATCAACATGGGTACAGAACGAATAAGCTTCTGAGCTGAGCCAGTCAATCTGTAGTGTGCAATCCACAACAAAATTGTGTTCCTACTGGGAGCTTTACCATGACAACCCACATTAAAGTGCACACAGAAATGTTGCTGAGACAGGGTAACATAGCCACCAGTTTTAAAAAACGTTTCAACAACGAAAGCACGATGCTACGCAGTCCATTGTTCATGTCTACTGAAATGGCGTACTTTGAGCTGTTGAAGATCAGTAAGCCCTCTCTTTCCACACCACCATTGCCCAAACTACTGGCAACTAAAAAACGTCTGCTTTCCTTGCCAGACCCTGTATTTTATCTCACGCTCCATCTATGTCTTCATAACACCGTGCTTAAGTATAAGGGAAATGAAACTTAATCTTCATCACAATTCAGATCAATGGAACTCACTGAAATAAAGCAATCTATTTTCATGACCTACTAAAACTCATTCATTTATGGTTTATTTAATGATACTGCTGGTACCTCAAACTGTACAATGTCAAATGACTGGTGAATAATGAGCTGAAAAGGATAAAGAAAGGAGAAGTCATGGCATAATTTGAGGCATCATCCCAGAATCTGTCTGGAAGGTCTGCGAAAAGTCATGGAGAACTTCAGTCAGAATAGCCATCAAAATTCGAACTAACCACCTTCTTAATACAAGTCAAAAGCATTATCACTTGAACCAGATTGCTTGGCTCCTTCTAAAAATATCAATGGTGTTTACATTTCTTTTATCTACTGAATGGCACAAACAAAGGGAGATAATCTTTCAAGATAAAATATATCTAAAACATATTTATATACATACAAAGATATAATTGACAACACGCAATCAAGCAGTCTGTCTCAACACATATAGAAAAGATTGGCATAGACATGAGCACATGCACCTGTCTTTGTATGCATCTGAAGTGTCTCATACCCCCCACAATTGAAGACGTTAATATATATGTGCATGGTTGTCAGTCTTATGCCAAAACGTTATGTCCTGCAATATGACATTCCTGTATGAATTCATACTGTAGAGACATACAATGAAGAGAAGCTCCATGAGTTCTTCCCTGCACAATTAATAGTTTTCCAGCTTCTGAGGGAATTAAATTAGATAATGAACATCAATATCCACCACCATTAACGTTTCAGTCCAGGACAATCTCTACTCTGAGCTAATTCAACCACATCCACAATCTTACATATATAAATTTATAATATCCAATTTACATACTCTCCTAAGTGACCTCTTTGTAAAACATATTCTGCCACACATTTTGAAAACATCTCTCCAAACAAATGTAAATTGCATGATTTCATTATGAGAGACTGATGGAACATGCTACTTATTTTCCCACGATCCATTGCTAAACAGTTTGACCAGGGATTCTCAAACTTTGGATACTGTGACCTCCTAAAATAATACAGACATTTATGTGACTCCAGTAATCAAAGCTACTGATGTATTAAGATTAATGAGACATCTGGCACATTACCTTAATCAATGTCTGCTCACTAGAGCCAGCTTCTGTGACAGCACCTATATTACATCTGACTTGTCAAAAGTGTGAATGAATACAACAATGCTTAAATTATTCTTGTAAATTTGGTGACTGCCATTACAGTAGGTCATGACCCACCAGAGGTTGTGATCCTCAGTTTGAGAAACCATGCATTATGTCATTAAGATGTAAATAGCAAGTGGAGGTCAGTGTGCAAATATTTCCAGGCTTTCACATATGCTTGAGCTGAACAGTGAACCATAAGAACACATGAGATAACAAGATGGACCCCCAACACTGTTCTCAGCTACTGTTTTTATAATATGAGCTAACAAAAAACTGATTATTCTGCATGATATTCAACAATTCCATTTACAAGACTGACATGCAACTTACAAATTCTGAATGCTGGATTTAAAACGGAAACTTGTTATGCTGATGTCAACAAGACGATTGCTGTTCAAGTCTAGAGATTTCAGACTTGTAACATTCTTTAAAGCAGAGCAGTCAATGTGCTGAATCTCATTGTGTGACCTGGAACAAATTTATCCAATTAATGGCAAACAACAAACACTTTAATTACAATTAAAATACTTTAAACAGATATTTGTACTTACAAGGTAAGAAATGATAAATCTGGCATGTCATTTAGGACAGGAATCTCTGTAAACACATTCTTATTCAGCTTCCTGCAAAAGAAAACAGGAAATTAAATATTAGTTCTTGAATGTCTCCAGCTACAAGGAAGTGTGAATTACAATTTCTTGTCTATCTCATAATTTTAATTGGCCTTATTCCAGTCTGGCATAATTTAATCAAAATGCTCTCCCATTGTACTATTAGGTATTCCCAGTGCAGACTGGTATTCTGAATCCTGCCATTTTCCCTCAGATATGGATGGAAAACAACTTTACCATGCTGATATATTGGGTTTCTGGACTTTAGCCATCGTCCTAGTCTTTAAGATAACAAAAACACGACGTTTCTGAAACTGGATCTGTTTCGTCCTCAGGTGAAGGAAAAGGGGAACACCTATTCTGATAAAAAGTCTCCACGACAGAGCCTCTACCATATGCCAAGATCGACGAGATTTGGCCATAGAAATTAACAACCTGAGACACGATCTTCAGTTGAATGGTTATCCCAAAGGTTTTATTGACTCGGTCATTAATTCCAAGGGCAGTAGTCGTCCGAAGAAAGAGGAAAGCCCTCTGTGTTCTGTTTATATTGCATATGTGAAGGGTGTGTCTGAAAAGTTTAAATGGATAGGTAATCGATATAATATTAGGCCCATCTTCCGTACAAAACACACACTTAGGAACTCCCTTATGAAAAATAGACCGAAAAGAGATCCGCAACAGATGGCACAGTGCGTCTATAGCATTCCCTGTGAATGTGGCAGAAGCTACATTGGCGAAACAGGCAGACCTCTGGCCGTGCGGCTCCGGGAACATAGGCATAACCTAAGAGAAGGTCTAGAAAAATCTAAATTAGCCCAACATGCCTATGAAGAGGGACATAGGGTAGGCTGGGATGAAGCTAAGATTTTGGATATTGAAAGCCACATCAGGTATAGGAAATACAAGGAAGCGGCCCATATGGCATGCTCGGCCAACCCAATTAGCCAACCCAGTTTGGACTTTTCTCCCATTTGGATCCCCATTATCAGCAATGAAGTCACCAATTCACATAGAAGATCTGTATGATGTGATATATGCTTTTATTTATTTCTATTAAGTTCTAAATTAGATAGACGTGATTTACTCCATTGTTAACGCTAGTTAGACACTATTAGTTTTTGTTACTAGTTCTTCTTTCTATTCCATGCCGTGGGGTCATGGACCTGGTTATGAGTTTGGTTTCGTGGCGTAAATTTCTGCAGATCTATCTATCCTGGTTCCACGCTTGTATGTGTTTGCTACAATTTGTTATGAAAATTTTTCTTATTAGCTCTCATGGACTTGGCCTGGTCTCAGGTGTTTATAATCTTCATGTTGTGTAACATGCCAGTGATTGAGGCTAGCTCTTTCTAACGGACCCAACAGAATAGGTGTTCCCCTTTTGTCGTGTTTTTGTTATCTTAAAAACTAGGATGATGGATAAAGTCCAGAAACCCAATATATCAGTGTGTTATACACCATCGTCAGAATCCTATAGTAACAACTTTACCATGGTATTTTAATGAAAGTTGTACAGCATTAAATAATGACTGCTAAGGGAAACCTTGGTTGGACAGGGTGACTAAAGCAATGGCAATCCAGGTAAATAATAATGACACAGAGAACAAAGCTATGGCTATCCAGGGATACTGTGAAAGCAGGAAGCATAAAGCAATGGCCACATGGGAAAAGCATGAAGACAAATAGGGTACAGAATTTCAGAGAAACTGCAAGGGCTGGGAGAGTAAACCAACTATCTGGTGAAAATGTGAGGACATGGGTGGTCAATTATCCAGGTAAACTGTGAGCCCAAGAAGGGCAGCGCAGTGGGTACTGGGGGAAACTGTGAAGATGGAAGATGAACCACTGACTATTCAGTGACACTGTGAGAACATGCAAGATTTTAAGCAATGACTATGAGGGAAAATTGTGTGGACAGGGACAGTAAAGCTATAGCTATATAGAGAAAATGTCAGGATGCTAGAAAATAGCAAGGAAAGGGAGAGTAAAAAAAAAAAAAGGCTATCTCGGGAAACTATTAAGACCAGGGCGGAAGAAATGGTTATTCAATGAAACTGTGAGGACAGAGATTATAATGCAATGGCTATAAGGAAAAACTGTGACCAAAGGAAGAATTACACAATGGCAGGTAGGATAAAACAATAGCTATTTGGGGAAACTGTGAGCAAAGGGAGGATAAGGCAACAGCTATCCAAGAAAACTGTGAGGACAGGACAACACAATAAATACAACAAAAATTTTCAGGATGGGCAGGATAAAGGAATGATCCTCCTGAGAATGAGTGAGGGCAGTGAGGAAAATAGAATGGCTATCCAGAGAAATTGGAGTATTACAGTGATTAAAACATCTGCTATCCTTGTACATCATGAGGATAGCACAGATAAAGCCATGGCTGTCCAGGCAAACTGTAAGGACACACTGGCCACCCAGAAATATTCTGAATACAGGATCTTAGTTTAATGGCTATCAGGGAGAGCTGTAAGATAAAGTAATGACAACCCATGGGTACTAAGGACAGAAAGAGCAAAATATGGCTATATGGGGATATTGTGAGGCTGAGGAGGGTAAAGACAGGGCTATACATGAAAGCTGTGGAAGACAGATCAATGGCTATATGGTAAAGTTGAAGGCAGAGGAGGGTAAAGCAATGGGGAACTGAGAACTGGTAGGATAAAGCAATGAGTATCCAGAGATATTATGAGAACAGGAAGAATAAAGCAATGGTTATCTAGGGATATTGAGAACATGCTATCCAAGCATCCTGTAAGGACAGGATGGTCAAATCAATAACTATACAGGGAAACTGAGACAAACTGGAAGATAAAACAAGGGTAATCCAGGCTGAAACTGAGATGACAGGGATGGTCATCATGGGAAAGTACAGTGGAGGGAAAGCAATGGTCATCCAGAGAAACTATGACACGAAGGACACATTGGGCTACCTAGGGACATTTTTACAGGGGGGATAAAGCATTCGCTATCTAGGAAAATTTATGATGAGGATACTAAATGTCCATCTGGGAAATTCTGATGAGGATTGTACCACAATGGCTTTCTGGGAAAATTCTGAGGACAAGAAGGGTAAAACAGTGCATTTTTGGGGAGGCAGTATGAGCAGGTAGGATAAACAATGGGCTTCTGAGGAGACTGTGAAGACCCTGAGCATAAGGCAATGGTCATCTGGGAAAACTGTGATACTGATGATAAACAGCAATATTCTGAAATTATTAGGATGGAAAGAGCACAGTAATGGCTGTCTGGGGAAACTGTAAAGACAGCTGGGATAAAGCAGTGGCTACCCAGGGAAATTGTGAGGACAATAACTATATAGCAGTGGCTCTCCAGAAATATTCTGAAGACAAGGAGGGTAAAGCAACCATTATCCAAGTGTATTACGAGACTATTCTATAGGTGATACATAGCATGTGTCCCTCCTGCAACACAAGCCCTAGGATCTGCAGCACATTCCCAAACAATTTCCCTATACAAGGACAGTTTAAATGGAAGGACTTAGTAAAATATCATGGTGTTCACTAGTGGAAATCCAAAACTATGTCAACTTGGTCCTAAACATAAAAGTAATTATATAATCATACACATACTCTGGAATACTTACAGTTCTGTCAGTAATCGTGAATTCCTTGCTTCAATGATGACATCTCTAAGTTGATTAGAGCTCAAATCCCTGGGGGAAGAAACAAATAAATGTGAATAAATGTTGCCAATCACATACAAGAAACAGAAGACTTCACACATTATTTAAAAGGCGAAGCTTAAGGAACAGGAAAGTCTCAGCAAATTACTTTAACATTGCATATGCTCAAAAACATTTTCTCATTAGCCATGGCACCATCTCCTTGAAAACTTATCACACTGGTCTGGGTTACAAGGATTACCCTTGTCAACAGTTATTCCTTGTTTACGTGGAACCCAAAGTTCACCATCATCATCAGAAAAGCTATTGAACCTTGCCATGGACTAACTCACCTCCAACAAAGGGCTGCAACAATAGCTGAACCCCCCCCTTTCCTTTTTCTAAGTGCTGACTGTAAGAAAGGCTTGAAGATGCAACAAAGAACAATAATTGATCTGTCTTCATCACAATGTATTAGTTAACCCAAAACCCCTTCTGGTGATTTATATACTGTCATACATAATAACAATTTCAACAACGAAATATATATAAATACTTTTGGTATCTCCTTTGTTACTATCTTTTTGGTTACTGTTCCCTTAACTTCTGTTATGGGCTCAAAGACTTTCCTCCTGCTTTAGCCATACAATATAATTTTTTGACATTGGTTCTTAGATGCTATATCAAATGTAAGTTACACACTGATTTCAGAAATTTTAAAAAGTGACAAAGGTGCATCATAATCGAGGGAATACAGCACATTGCAGATTTTGTCCTGAAATCTATTTCAGGAGAAGAAAAAGTTCTTGGCCTTTAACATATTTACTTCCAGAATAATCGTTTTACAGATTACGTGTCATTTTTTGAGTCGATTACAGTATCATCCAACAGACTGACACAATCAAGCACAGTGATCATCTAATTTCATTAAACACACACTGACATGGAAATACATAAAACATACTTCTCACAGGATCTGACATTGTCACAATGGTGCTTATTAAGAGGTCTATCTTCCTGGATATAACGCCACATAGTCCGTTGAGTCAGTTCACATACTGGACAAACACGTTACCTCCATCTTCAGGGTCAAAGAATAAGACAAGCAAGAAACCAGCATGAAGCAGGTAACAAGCAGATGGAGATGACAGGTTCCTTCAAAATGATGTTTGACTTTAAATGGGCTACACAGCAATATATCCTAGAATTCTCCATAATTCTTCATAACAGATATGGAGGGCATCACTAGGAATTTTCAAATTCATTTTAACCTTTTGCATGCCATGAACTGACCACATCAGTTGAAAAGACCGGTTCATTGTTAATCAGTTACTACAGCATTTCTGCCAACATAAGTCGCCAAGTATGACATTCATGTATGTTTCCCTCACTGTGAGGAAAGTACTGTCAGATTTCTGGGCAAATGGGCTTACCACCATCATTTTAGCTAGCAGGCCTATGATTAGAGCTTTCCAGTCAGATGGTTACTGCTCTAACATTACACGCATTCCAGTTCTGTTTGAACAAGTCATTAAGTTCCTCATGCAGTCATTTTAAATGTTTACTTATTAATAATGATGGACTGTATTTATCAGTTATGATACTAAGCTGACTGTGACATCATCCTCAAGCTCGGTGTCTTGAAAATAAATCTACTGCTTCAGAGGATAATCAGTGAGCACAAAACATTCATCATTTCATTGGACTGAAGAGTTCAGTCTTCTGGAATATTAAATCAAGCAGTGTGATGAAAGTCAACTAATGTTTCTGAAAAACACATGGCCTCCATTTTCAGGGCTGATATGCAAGACAAGCAAGAAACAAGAATGGCAAACAGATCAGTGGTATTATATACAACAGGGCACAACACCAGTGGTACCACCAAAATGACTGCAAGTAACACATAATTGACAAACAGTCTGTACTAGTTATGAATTTCACAAACTCTTCATGCAAACTACATCAAAGTATTGTATACACATACAGCTCCTTCTGACATGAATGATAACTGATTACATAAGCTGAAGGTCCTTCCACAAAGACATGCAAATATTTGTACATCTGCAACTTACACAACCAAGCAGTAACCTCATGTTCAGGGCATTATGCATATGCAGCTCTGATACAAAATTATCTATACCAAAAATCAACCTCAAATATCAAAATGTATCAAAGGGTATAAAAATGATTTCACAGAAACACAGCTCACTGGCCACAAAATGCTATTCCACAGAACAACTGTCATTAGTTCGCTCCCTGGCAACCTGGAAAGCTGCTGAAACAAATGCATAAACAATGTTCCCATATGCATCCACTTCCTGTACTTTATATTCAACAATGCAGAGTATATGACAAAGTCCAGAAAATCAGTAATCTAGAGCCCTTAAACTTAAGTATGCAAGCATATTTTCAGCCTTGAAAAAAATTCTGACAGCACCCATCATCCAAAAATAAGGCTTCAAAGGACACACAATCATCTCAGCAAACCATACCTGAGCAGTTTCTGAAAGCTGTAATGGCTCTGTTGGTTTACTGAAGAAACTTTATTAACACATGGGTTATAAATGACTGAATGATTCCTGTTTTATCATTGCATTTTCAACAGCAGAGGTTAAACAGTGTTGAATGATAAAACTATTTTGGATCAAACATTAGGAAAAGTGTTACAGAAAAAACTGATATAATATAAAACAAAAACAAACTCCGTGGCTTTAGTCCACAAGTGAAATATACCAACCAAGCAACCGCCACTTGTCGGCGAAGTTAGTGCCAACTTTAGAGGATTAGAGGGTGTTGCGTGGTCAATGCAACAATTTCGGTTTCATAGATGGGAGCTGCTACTTTTTCATTCAAGCAGCTCCTCAATTAACCTCACAAGGTTTAGTGGACCCCATTCCACAACCACTATTTCTCAGAAAGACTGGTAACGCCGGGAATCAAACCCAGGACTTCTGGATTTGTAGCCAAGAAAAGTATACTCTTTAGATTTTGTAACAGGCCAAAAAAAAAAAAACTTAAGCTATTTCTGTAACAGGCTGAGGAGGCCCATAGGCTTGTGAAGATGTCGGGGTTCCCAATTTTCTAGACAATCTGCTCCTTTCTGTTAGAGGCTGAGTCGACCCCAAGACCACAGTGTGGTTGGAAAGATCAGGTACAATGTGAAGTCCCTGTGCTTAACTAATTAAGCACTACAGCATGAAGGCATATTAGGAAGAGGATGTATAGATCCATGTTTTCTTGACCTTGGTACTAGCTGGAGGTGAGTAGTCAGCTTCACTCCCTGGCTGCATTACCCCCGGAGAAAAAGCCCCCCCCTGCCCCCGGTACCCATTGGATAGGAGGTTGGGTGGACTCTAGTGCTGGTCTGGACGACATGGAGAAGAGAAATTTATCAACCGTATCAGGGCTCGAACTCCAACCCCTCAGTCGTCCAGCCCATAGCTAGTCAACTTAACTTAGATAACTTAAAAAAGCAACAAAGTCAAATATTTGGAAATGATGGTAACAAATCAAAATTACACTCCTGAAGAAGCCAGAAGAAGAGTGTACACTCAGGGGATGCTTCTTATCATTTCATTCAGAATCTCTCGTCCTCCCCTCCTCCTATCAAACTTATTTATTCTGGGTGCATTTAAAACACTCAGATTACATTCTGCCACATGAGAGGGTGATTAGTGAATAATGAACTGGAAAAGATGTGAAAGGAAGTGGCTGTGGCCTAATTTTGAATAATATCCTGCGTCTTCCTAGAGGGACTGGTGAAAACCATGAAGAACTTGAGTCAGGACAGCTGATCTCCTGGCCAAGATTTGAGTTCTCTCTCCCTCAAATATGAAGCAGGAGCACTAACCACTCAACCACAACATTCAATATATGCTACATGAATCTGTAANCAGACACGTATACAAAATTTTAGTCAGAAAATTTTGGGCCGGTAAGAGGCCTTATGGAAGACCTAGGTTCAGATGGGAGGGTAATATTATAAAATGGACTGTGAATAAAAAGAATGGTAGGATGTGAACCTGATTCATGTGGCTCAGAATAGGGTCAAGTAACACAATACTGTAAAGACGGTAATTAAACTTGCAGTTTGATAACAGGTGGGTACTTTCTTGAGCAGGTGAGTGAGGCTTAGTTTCACAAGGACTCTGCTCCAAGCAGCCAATTAAAGAAAATGTTTGTAATAGCTGAAGAAAATTATGATGGTCTACTTTAAAGTATTATGTCAGCATCTGCACAGAGGAACCACAGATAAAAAGAAAAGCCTCAACCAGATTAGGTGGTCTTTGGACATAGAATCTCTTCAGTATAGAACTGATGGTGGATACAGTTACTATAACTTCACTCCTAACTTTTAAACGCATTGTGGCATGCAGACCCATTGCTAGTGAGATAAACAAATATACAACAGCCATTACTGAGTAATGCCTTCACAAACAAACATGTTCCCATGGCAACAATTGAACTATAACAATAAGGAAGCTGTTTTCTGTGCAGTCCATACTGAGATGTTATAAGCAAGACAAGTTGGAAGTGGCAATTAGTCAGCCAGTGGAGTGGAGTCAGTTGCTGAGTGTCTTAGTCTGTTAGTCAACAGATGCTGTAGCTGAGGCCGGGAACAGTTTGGAACTGCTAATGAGCGACAGCTAGGGAAGACTGAGAAGACTTTCTGTGTGCTGTAGTTAGAGCGATCTTTTGAGCGTGTGAGTCTGCCATACTTATATGTTGTCATATTCTGTAAGTGTTCAATTATTCTGATTACCAATCCAAGCCCCACCTACAGGAACTACAAAATCATGACAATATATAATAATTCTTTATCAAGATAACATATAATAGCTTTACATGGTTGGTGTGAAGGTTATTTAATGATCTTCTATCACCTGCAGTCCATGTTTAGGATCAAATGAGACTGACCTCTGTGTAATTAAGGGAATGCCTAGGGCGAAAGTTATCATGGCCAATTTCTCTTCACATTGAGAGAATGAAGAAAACCATAAATAATCAAGTTAGCTGATATTCTGAACTGAGACTCAAATGTGGCACCTCTC